AATTATGCTTGATTACAATTAGCGACAAAATAAGTGAATGTCGAAAATTCAAGAGATAAATACTTGCAAAAGTAAATAAAATTAATTAAAAGGATTAAAATATAAACAAAAAATCAATCATGCATTTTCGAAGTAATGAACAAATCAAGGTCAATCATTAATGCAATAAAAATAGGGGGATAATTCTTAAATAAAAGTGGAAATGAATAAATTCCAAGTAAAATTTGAATCAAAACCTGATACTCTATGAAGTATCAGTTACTATGTTAAGCCCATATAACTTATTCTAACTTCTGGACAGGTCAATTTATTCACTCTACTTTAGTCACGTTTTTATCTTCTTAATTATTCACCTATCAATTTTGAATGATTATATATGAGCGTATTTGTGTGCACTTCTTATCCTAATCATCACAAGTCTACAACTTATTTCTATCTGACTATAAATATCTATTCATGCTTGGTTAAATTGAGTTGGCTCACATGCCTTCTCTACTGTGAATCCTTTGGTTTCGCTTCACTCTCTCATCTTTTCTCCCTTCTCTACGTCTCTGATTATTGTTCCGATCAACGATTGTACAAACTACACGTATTCGAGATCTATTCTCGTATTTGACTTATTTAATTCCATCATTGGTTAACGCGATTTATGTAGATAATTATATGTATCACTTGAATCAAGATAAAAAGTTTAATAGAATATCTCATAATGTAACAAATAAGCAATCAATTAGTAGAACACTGAATTCTTGTACATTTCACAAAAGGAATTTATATGCACTTTTTAATTTTGATCTAGATCATGAATCAATACAGCAAATTATTAGGTAGATTCAAATATGATCGAAATACAACAATTTTCTTTAAAAAGTAGGTTATAAGTAAATTTGATAGAAAAAAAAGTAGGTAACTAATCTGTACGTATTTCTTTATTCAGTGCGATGAGTTATTACCTAACAAATTGACATTATGATTATCCAGTGTATTAATCCTCTGTCTGAACTACTAGTTATCAATCAATAGTAGATTTTGTTCGTATGTATATCCTAATTGAATTAACCACTAAATTCACAGTTTAGGATACTTTGAGTTTATATACACACAAATCAATAATTACTTACTTACTTACTTACTTACACCTGTTACTCCTCGTGAAGGAGCATAGGCCGCTCACCAGCATTCTCCATACAACCCTGTCCCAACCAATCCTTTCAAGCTCTTTCCAGTTCTTATTCGTACCTTTCACATCCGCTTCTATTTCCCGACGTAATGTGTTCTTTGGCCTTCCTCTTTTCCGCTTCCCTTCAGGATTCCAAGTTAGCGCTTGTCTCGTAATGCTGTTTGATGATTTCCTCAATGTATGTCCTATCCATTTCAATCGTCTTTTCCTAATTTCCTCTTCAGCTGGAAGCTGGTTGGTTTTCTCCCACAAAAGGCTGTTGCTGATGGTATCCGGCCAATGGATGTTGAGTATCTTGCGTAGACAGTTATTGATAAATACCTGTATCTTCTTGATGGTGGTTGTTGTAGTTCTCCAAGTTTCAGCTCCGTATGGCAGAACCGACTGCCTTGACGTTCGTATTGAAGATTGTGACTTTGATATTGGTTGAAAGTTGTTTTGAGTTCCATATGTTCTTCAACTGAGGGAATGCTGTCCTTGCTTTGCCAATCCTCGCTTTTACATCTGCATCTGAACCTCCTTGTTTGCCGACGACGCTTCCCAAGGTATGTGAAGGATTCCACATCTTCCAGAGTTTCGCCATCAAGAGTGATTGAATTTCTGTTCTCTGTGTTGTATTTGAGGACCTTGGTTTTCCCTTTGTGTATGTTGAGGCCTACTGATGCAGAGACTTTTGCTATGCTGGCTGTCTTTATCTGCATTTGTTCGTGTGTATGCGATAGGTGTGCTAGGTGATCTGAGAAGATTAAATCGTCTGATTGGTTCTGAGCTGTCCATTGTATGCCGTAAATCAATAATTGTACTGTAAAATTATTTTAAGTGGTTCCATAGTAAACATTATTTTTATTCTAAACTTTGAGAATGCCTTTTTATTTTTAATGAAACTAACAGTTGTTAAGCAAAAATGGATGGTGTATAGCAGTGGAATACAGTTTGAAGCGCGTTTCGTCATTTTTAAGACCCGTCAGCTGGATATCAGTTGATGTTTACTCTGAGACTATGATTTATCAGTTGATAGGTCATTACAACATATGGATGAATATGTGAAATACTAGTTCACAACAGATACAAAATGCCTATCAACTAGTTTTTTTTATCCCACAAGGGTTTTTATCGATATGAATCGTTGTGATCATGAGTCAATTGAGGCTAGATCACCATGGAAAACCCGGAAGTACTATAATATCCACAAAATCCCCTTCTGATACTCATTAGCATATACTCACTAGTGACTGGCTTCGAAAAGCATTTCCTCTAGTTCCAGTGAGGAACAGTGACCAGTGGAGTTCGACCGGATCAGTTATGAGATAGTAACTCACTGATGACAATAGTAGATTTCACTGGTTGAGATCATGAATCCATTGAAGCTAGACCACCATGGAAAACCTGGAAGCACTGGACGGCCGTTTCGTCCTAGTATGGGACTCCTCAGCAGTGGTCTAGCTTCAATGGATTCATAATTTCAACCAGTGAAATTTCTAAAATCTCCACACAATCCCTTCTGATAATAGTAGATTTGTCAATGAATTTCGTAGATTAGTTGAAATTAGACATTAACACCATTGGATGCTGGCTGGCTCAGTGATCTAGAGGTTAATCGTTCACAAATGAAACTGACGGCCCCTAGTTCAAATCTCGCGAGGTGGGATTGTAAATGCGCACTGCTAAGGAGTAGTCCTACAACAGAACAAAACGTTGTCCAATGCTTCCAGGTTTTCCATGATGATCTAACTTCAATTGACTCATGATTTCAATCATTGAAATTAGTTTGTATTTTAAATACTATAACAGTGGATCAACTTCCATACACTATCAATCTACTGTATATATAATATATATTTCCTTTTTGGATCATTTGTCCATATGCTTCAACGTTGATATAAAATGTCATGGCAACTCCAAGTGAAATCAAAATTCAATAAATCTGTTGACAACAAATGTTAAAAATCTTTTTTTTTAAAAATTTTAATCAATGAATCAATTTTTTTTTGTAAATTATCCAAATCAATTCATTGAATTATTCTATAATCCATTCAGATTACCTTTAATTAAAATGTAAGAAACAGGTGTAAAAATAATTTTTTTTCTATTTTTAATCATGGAAACAATTTGTTTGTTTGTTTGTTTGTTTGTTTGTTTGTTTTACCTTCAATAGGCATATTCTGTCTGGCTTTTCTTTTTCATTACACTACTCTAAGGAAACAATAAAATTAATATATAATACATTTTGTGCATAATGATTAGTTGAAACAACAACTGACATTTTGGGAAGAATAGAATAAAAGGGATTTTTGGAGATGATAGTATTGTAACAATTGAATTCATTAGTTAATTTAATATATAGACCATTATTGAAATATTGAAAGGTTGTTTCGTTCAAGTATGTGCACTACTGACGACGAAATAGTCATCCAATGCATCCAGGGTTTTTTTTAAATAATGATCCAGATCAGATCAATTTATGAATTCAACTATTAAAAATTTTTAATTGAATCAGATCAAATAAATTCAGATCAGTTGAAAATCATTCAGTGTTTATGTAATTATAGAAATCATAGAAAAACGATAATATATACACATATGAATATTTGTTGTCATGGTAATTAAAGAGTATATATTATTAAAAATTATAAGTCATCGATAAGTTGCTAATCCATTGTAGTTTTCCCGCGTGGGTTTGAATCCCATCTCCGTCGTCAAATTTGATGAGTTTGAAGCAGTTACAAGTTCACTTAATCTACGAACGGAACAAGACTCGGTGATCAAAGATCAATAAGCTAGCTAGTTGATGTGTCCCAGCTCCGATACCTACAGGAAGAAGTCCAAGCTTGGAATGGAGAAGTATATTCTGCAAACAGCCAGAAGCACGAGTGATAACAACAGACACAAATCAAAACGTATATATACAACACAAAACCATACTTGGATAGAGTTACAAAATCGCATACTAAAAGACACAACGGACCAATAGCATTTAGGATTCCCCAAAGTCTGAAATACGATATGAAGGTGAAAAGAGCGCTTTTGGCGCGAAAACGAAGAAATTCAAATTTTCTAAATGAAATTACAAAATTAAGTGCTTTCCCAACTGAGTTCTGGGTATCTAACGTCCTCAACATAATCAAAGATTGATAGTGGTTAGCAGTGGAATCCAGTTTGATACATGTTTTGTTCTATTTAGGACTCTTCAGCTGGATGTACCTGCATTTCAAAGTTGGTGGTCACTCTGGGACTCAAAACCAATACCGTTCACTTCAGGTGCCATCACGTTTTCTACTTAGTTACTTAGTCCTGATAGCCACTTGCTTATGCAATGAGGTGAAGTTTAAATTCACTTAACATCGTTTACTTGAATGTTCCTGTTATTGTTTAGGACTGCAATTGATCTTTCTCTTGTTGGTATATGTGTATACTGTACGAACTGCCTTGATATTACCTTAATTCACAAGTATTACAAGTGAAGATGGATAGTGGCCAACAGTGGGTGTAGGAAGTAATTTCCAATGCTATTCTCTAGACTGTCGAGCACAAAGTCTTAGTCTAGCCAAAGTCAGAACAAGTAAACTATTTGGCTTGATAAGCTTCATCTGCTTCTAAAACATAAATTAACACCGTTAGTATACAAAATAAACAGTACAGTCTATTAAACAGAAAAAAAGGAGAGAGTCAAGGCGAATATTGTTTTATAATGACCATAAAATTGTGGTTGGTGAATTAAACAAGATATAGTCATACAAGGTCAAGAAAGTTAATATGGTGGTGTAGTGAACAGAACACTGGTGGGGACAATCGAATGTGTTCGACACAAAATTACAGGACTTGTTAATAAAATCTAACAATCATAAAGTAAATGCGTAATTTGCATAATGTCTATCAATTGTCTCAAAATTACTCAGACTTCTTTGTACTTGCATTTTCATACAAATTGCATTCTGTTTCCATTCTTTACTGTTCAATCTTCTTGTCTCTCTGATGCCAGACATTCTGTTCACGACTAGTGTCATATACTACTTATGTCGATATAACTAGCACACGCCATAGTGGTGAGAGTTTGACTTTATCATTCTTGAGTTCATTTATCAATCACACTTTACAGTGGGTTCGAGTCCCAGAATAAACAACAACACTGAGATGCAGATACATCCAGCTGACAAGTACCAAATATGACGAAATGCAAGTCAAACTCAATTTCACTACTAGGTATTATCCATCTTTGCTTATAATCTTTGTAAATTAATGCAATATCGAAGTAATCCGCACAGTATCAACATATTGCCAATATGAGACTGATCCATTACTAGCCTAAACATCAATGAGAAGATACAAACAAAACAATACTAAAGTGAATTTATAAGTCATTGATTTATATGGTCGATTTCACCTGCCATTCTTTAGTCTTTAATAAATTGATCGGTATATCAAAAAACAAAAAAAAAAACAAATTACGCTTTTCAATCGAACGACAAAACCTTTGTGTTAGAAAATTACATTACATAACGAAAAAAAAACAGAATTGGGAACTAACGATTAGATATAAAAATATAAATTCTATGTGAATTATTAAAATCATTTTAAATTAAAGTTAATGTGTTCGGAAGATAAAACAATAGCTGCTAATTCTAATCAAATTTACCGCTAAATATTTTAGTCAAAGGGGATGTAGTGGTAGTGGTAGTGGTAGTAGTAGTAGTAGTAGTAGTAGTAGTAGTAGTAGTAGTAGTAGTAGTAGTAGTAGTAGTAGTAGTAGTAGTAGTAGTAGTAGTAGTAGTAGTAGTAGTAGTAGTAGTAGTAGTAGTAGTAGTAGTAGTAGTAGTAGTAGTAGTAGTAGTAGTAGTAGTAGTAGTAGTAGTAGTAGTAGTAGTAGTAGTAGTAGTAGTAGTAGTAGTAGTAGTAGTAGTAGTAGTAGTAGTAGTAGTAGTAGTAGTAGTAGTAGTAGTAGTAGTAGTAGTAGTAGTAGTAGTAGTAGTAGTAGTAGTAGTAGTAGTAGTAGTAGTAGTAGTAGTAGTAGTAGTAGTAGTAGTAGTAGTAGTAGTAGTAGTAGTAGTAGTAGTAGTAGTAGTAGTAGTAGTAGTAGTAGTAGTAGTAGTAGTAGTAGTAGTAGTAGTAGTAGTAGTAGTAGTAGTAGTAGTAGTAGTAGTAGTAGTAGTAGTAGTAGTAGTAGTAGTAGTAGTAGTAGTAGTAGTAGTAGTAGTAGTAGTAGTAGTAGTAGTAGTAGTAGTAGTAGTAGTAGTAGTAGTAGTAGTAGTAGTAGTAGTAGTAGTAGTAGTAGTAGTAGTAGTAGTAGTAGTAGTAGTAGTAGTAGTAGTAGTAGTAGTAGTAGTAGTAGTAGTAGTAGTAGTAGTAGTAGTAGTAGTAGTAGTAGTAGTAGTAGTAGTAGTAGTAGTAGTAGTAGTAGTAGTAGTAGTAGTAGTAGTAGTAGTAGTAGTAGTAGTAGTAGTAGTAGTAGTAGTAGTAGTAGTAGTAGTAGTAGTAGTAGTAGTAGTAGTAGTAGTAGTAGTAGTAGTAGTAGTAGTAGTAGTAGTAGTAGTAGTAGTAGTAATCTTAATGTCAATAATAACCATAAATATTACTGATAAAACCAAGCTCCACCTAATATGAATTAAAACTAGGGAACAAAATGACATTTCGGAATGTAAATTAACAATTCTAATCACCTTTTATAATCAACTTTGATTACAAATTGACATACGAATTAGGTAAACGTAATGAATATAAGTAAACTGATAAAAATAATAGAATTTAAATCATTTTTTGATTTGTAAACATATTAATAGCCGGTGAACTGATCTTTGAGGGATAAAGTTTATTAATCAAGTACTTGGTTTGTGCTATTTATATCGACTTGAGTAGTATGTAATGATAGTCATTTTTAGAATGTCTGCCAACAGAACCTCGAGAAGGAAAGAATAGGAACAGAAATTGATTGATATGAAAATGCAGGAATAATGAATTCTGAAACGACTGACTGATATTTGCAAAAGGAACAGTGAAGTTTGAGACAATTGAATAACATTTTGTAAATTAAGTATTTACTGTATGATTCAAAGATTTTACTAAGATGTGCTGTGATTTTGCATTGAAATATATTCGATTGTCCCCAGTTGTGTTCTCATTTACTAAAATAAAACAGGTAACTGAATTTCGATAATATATGAAACCTATGGAGGAAATCAATTATAAATTCTTACAGAAAGTTTATATTCTATTTGGGGTAGTTAGTGTTCTATAAACTGACCACTTAAAAGTGTTGACTCCTAATCATTAAAGATAAGCTGAATATACTTGTAAACTGAAGTATAAGGTAAATACATCTATATTTGTGCAGTGTTACAGTCTTAACGACTGTGTTGTCGAGACATACAGAAACATGATAAACAAACCACGCTAATTAAATATCACATTACAAATCGCTCATTACAGATAGTATATATTTCCTACCGTTTCAATGAAGATGAAAAACTAAGTCTAATTTTTGGTAACGTTATATGGTGAATTATAAGAAATCCTCTATAAATCGACTGAGAACGACATCTTCACGATGCCTTTCAATCAAATTAGTATAACTTACTTACTTATTTACGCCTGTTACTCCTCGTGAAGGAGCATAGGCCGCTCACCAGCATTCTCCATCCAACCCTGTACTGGGCAATCCTTTCAAGCTCTTTCCAGTTATTATTCATCTTTTTCATATCTGCTTCTATTTCCCGACGTAATGTGTTCTTTGGACTTCCTCTTTTCCGTTTCCCTTCAGGATTCCAAGTTAGCGCTTGTCTCGTAATGCTGTTTGATGATTTCCTCAATGTATGTCCTATCCATTTCAATCGTCTTTTCCTAATTTCCTCTTCAGCTGGAAGCTGGTTGGCTCTCTCCCACAAAAGGCTGTTGCTGATGGTATCCGGCCAATGGATGTTGAGTATCATGCGTAGACAGCTATTGATAAATACCTGTACCTTCTTGATGGTGGTTGTTGTAGTTCTCCAAGTTTCAGCTCCGTATGGCAGAACCGACTGCCTTGACGTTCGTATTGAAGATTGTGACTTTGATATTGGTTGAAAGTTGTTTTGAGTTCCATATGTTCTTCAGTTGAAGGAATGCCGCTCTAGCTTTGCCAATCCTCGCCTTGACGTCTGCATCTGAACCTCCTTGTTTATCGACGATGCTTCCCAGGTATGTGAAGGATTCCACGTCTTCCTGAGTTTCGCCATCAAGAGTGATTGGATTGCTGTTCTCCGTGTTGTATTTGAGAACCTTGGTTTTCCCTTTGTGTATGTTGAGGCCTACTGATGCAGAGACTTTTGCTATGCTGGCTGTCTTTATCTGCATTTGTTCGTGTGTATGTGATAGGAGGGCTAGGTCATCTGCGAAGTCAAAGTCGTCTAATTGGTTCTGAGCTGTCCATCGTATGCCGTAGTTTCTCTCAGATGTCGAGGTCTTCATAATCCAGTCGACCACCAGAAGAAACAGTAAGGGAGAGAGTAGACAGCCTTGTCTTACTCCGGTCCTTACTTGGAATGCGTCTGTCAGCTGTCCTCCATGCACTACTTTGCACTGTAGTCCGTCGTATGAGTTCCGGATAATGTTGACAATCTTCTCAGGAACTCCGTAGTGTCGAAGAAGTTTCCATAACGTCCTCCTATCTACACTGTCAAATGCCTTCTCATAATCAATGAAGTTGATGTAGAGTGACGAGTTCCACTCAATTGATTGTTCGACGATGATCCGTAGTGTCGCAATCTGGTCTGTGCACGACCGGTCCTTACGGAATCCAGCTTGTTGATCTCAAAGTTGAGCGTCAACTGCGTCTTTCATCTTGTTCAGTAACACTCTGTTGAAAACTTTACCCGGTATTGACAGTAGTGTAATGCCTCTGTAGTTTTCACACTTGCTCAGATCTCCTTTCTTTGGAATCTTGATGAGGTGTCCTTCTTTCCAATCCATCGGCACTTGTTCCTCCTCCCAAATCTTCTTGAATAGAAGATGAAGCATGCTTGTAGTTACTTCGATGTCTGACTTCAACGCTTCAGCTGATATATTGTCAGGTCCTGCTGCTTTCCCGCTCTTGATTTGTCTGACGGCCATTCTGATTTCTCCGGTCGTTGGTGGATTGACATTTATAGAAAGATCTGTGTGTGCTGCTTCGATGTCCGGTGGATTCATTGGAGCCGGTCTGTTCAGGAGTTCCTCGAATTACTCTGCCCATCTGTTGCGCTGTTGTTGAATCTCAGTGATTGGTCTTCCTTCTTTGTCTTTGACTGGTCTCTCTGGTTTACTGTATTTCCCTGCAAGCTTCTTCGTCGTATCGTAAAGCTGTCTCATATTTCCTTCTCTTGCAGCTTTTTCCGCCATCGTTGCTAGTTCTTCCATGTATTTTTGCTTATCAGCTCTAATGCTCTTCTTCACTTTCTTGTTTGCTTCTATGTACTCTGCTTGTGCTTGGACTTTCTCTGCTCTTGTTCGACTGTTGTTAATTGCTGTCTTCTTGTTCTTTCTTTCTTTGATCCTGTCCAGTGTTTCTGTAGAGATCCATTCCTTGTGATGATGCTTCTTGGGGCCCAGAACCTCTAGACACGTTGAAGTTAATGTTTCTTTGATACCTTTCCAGCTATCCTCCATAGTAGTTTCTTCTTCCTTCAGTAGATCCTGTAAGGCTTGGAACCTGTTGTTGAGAGCTACCTTGAATTCATTGAGTTTGTCAGTATCTCGAAGGAAGGCTGTATTGAACCTTTGTGGTGCTGTTTGTCCAGTTGTCCAGTTCTTCTTTAGCTTCAGTTTCAATTTGGCCACAACCAGGTGGTGATCTGAAGCTATGTCCGCTCCTCTCCTGGTTTTCACATCTTCCATTGTCCTTCGGAACTTTTTATTGATGCAAATGTGATCTATCTGGTTCTCTGTGGTGTGGTCCGGTGAGATCCACGTAGCTTTGTGTATACGTTTGTGTGGAAATGTTGTACCGCCTATGACCAATTTATTGAATGCACACAGATTTGCAAATCTTTCCCCGTTTTCGTTTCTCTCTCCCAGTCCATGCAGTCCCATGATGTCTTCATATCCGATGTTGTCCATTCCGACTTTGGCGTTTAGATCTCCCATCAGAATGGTGAGGTCCTTTCTTGGGCACTTCTCTATGATTGATTGCAGCCTCTCATAGAATTGATCCTTAACGTCGTCGTTGCTATCATTGGTAGGTGCATAACATTGGATTATGTTCATTGTGATCCCCTCCTTCTTTGTTTTGAATGATGCTTTGATGATTCTGGATCCGTGAGATTCCCATCCTACAAGTGCATTTCGTGCTACTTTGGATAGCATTAGAGCAACTCCCTGAGTGTGTGGAGCATTTTCCTCTTCGTGACCGGAGTATAGCAACATCTCTCCCGTATTTAGCCTTTGTTGTCCAGCTTGGATCCAATGGGTTTCACTGATTCCCAGTACTGCCAATTTGTATCTCCTCATTTCCGTTGCTATTTGACTGGTCTTCCCGGTCTCCCACATTGTCCGGACGTTCCATGTACCTATAAAAATTGTTGCTCTGGTTGTTAGAAGGGGCATCGGCCTCGTGGCTTCCGAAGGAACTCGGCTTTCACCATGAAGCGTCATATTACCTCTAACTCCCAGGGCAGGGTTTAAATGGTTTGAGTTATTTTTTCTGGTTAGCGTTTTTTTAGCGAGTTAGGTTTCTACGGGATGGGGACGCTAACCCCATGCCCAACCCTCCTCCTTTACCCGGGCTTGGGACCGGCAGTAACTCTGGAAGAGCTACAGGCGGAGTTAAATTAGTATAAGAGCATGCTTAAATAAATAAATAGCTCGTGAGATTGTTGATGAAGTGGAATGTTTATATAATAGTCAACGTTTAAAATAGCCTACATATTCGGCTGATATTTATCCAACGGTAACTTTTTAATCTGTAGATATCATGAGAGCGAAAATGTAACACACCCACAGTATAATGCAACTTATGTTTGCGAAAATAAGTAGTACGTAACACTAATCGGAATTGGAATGTCTAAGAGCAGAAGCTTGAGAGAATTGAAATGAAGGGAAAACAAAAAAAAAACTTGGATCAATCAAAATAACAACAAGAATGAATGAACAATGAAGCTTGTCATTGACAATTCAAAGAAAATATGCACATGATGTATTTGATGTATGATTTTCACATTTTACAATATTATTGCATGATTGTGCATTCAATAATCATTTGGTTCTCACCACCCAAGTGTTCATTCACTACATAGTATCTAGTGCCGAAACGATTAATGTTATCTACTGATTAACAGGTTACATTTTATTATCGATTTTGAATGTAAGCCACAATTCAATTTAACGTTTCCTTCCAGCAATTAATTTAGTTCACATTCAAATAACACAGTAACCATATATAATTGTGATTAATATATTTCGATAATTATCAGAAAGTGGATTTTGTAGAGATGGTAGTAATTTAATAGTTGAATTCATAAGTCAATAAAAGTTAGGCCACCATGGAAAACCTAGAAGCACTGGATACTAAATACAGGACTTAAACCTTAGATCTATCTGTCTCGCAGAGGAACGTTAT